GCCCAAGCCTCAGCCCCCACCCCCCAGCCCAGCCCAGTGACCTGCGAAGGTCAAGGGTGGGGCTTCCCTGCTGTCCCCCATCCAGGGAAGTCCTGCCTGCTTCCCCACTCCCTCCTGCAACCCCCCTGCACCACGGTTGCCCCAAGGGAGGGTCTGGGAAGGGTGCTCACTGGATGCCAGCCCCTGGATCCTTAGTTTCCTTCCTGGTCAGTGGGGAACCCCAAATAGACCCCCTCCTGGGAGTGTGGGGGCCAGGTCCAGTGCACATGCAATGCTCTACCCTCTGGGTGCTGGGGAGGCGACTAGGGATGAGCTCCCAGCCCCCACACCACGCCCATTGTCAGGGAGTTGAGTGGAACTCATAGCGAGTAGAAAGCCTCATCTCTCTCCCTCGGAGCTGACTGGTGGACTTGAACCGCTGACCTTGTGGTTAGCAGCCCCACGTGTAACCACTACTCCACTCAGTTGGCAGTTGCTGTGACTAACAGTGTCATCGGATGGAACACACTATCGAGGTGTCTAGTCTGACTCACAGCGACCCTGCTGTGGACGGCTGTGGATCCTCAGGGGAGCAGACGGCCTCATCTTTCTCCCTCAGCGGCCAGTGGGTTCGAACCACTGAGCTTGTGGTGTCACCCAGGATGCCACCAGGGTGCCCGTAAGTCGTCAGAGGTGTGACCTGGCTGATGGCCTGCCGGGGTTTCTAGGCACAGTTGGCCGGCCGGTGTTAAATCGTCCACCTTCCAGTTGGTGTCTTATGCTTAACCTCTGCATCGCCAGGACCATCTGCACAGGAATTACGATTTCCTAAGACCGCCCAGCCACGCTGATCCCTCTGCCTGGAGGTCCCTCCCCCGTGTGGAAAACTCCTGCCCACCCATCAAAACTCAGGCCCCCAGCCCCACCTCCTCCTTCCCCGGCTATTCCTTCCCTGGAACTCCCACAGCAGTCGTCAGGGTCTGGGACTTTTGACGCACCCACTTTACAGATGAGGAGACTGAGGTTCGACTGAGGTTCGGAGCAGGAAGGCAGCCTCTGACCCTCACGATGCCGCCCGCAACACCCGCCCTCCCCCAGGTAGTGGAATGCTGGGTAATCGTGGGGTGTGACGTGGATGCCCAGTCCGAATGGTGTGGCCACCTCCAGGACCACAGTCTGCCTGGGGACTCCTTGCGCTGAGGCTTTGTCCAGGGTCCCGGGGCCAGCCCCATGTCTCTCCCAGGACCCCCATCCATGTTCAGAGGCAGTGGGCAGCAGGCCGGCTGACAGCCGAAGGGCTGGCCACCAGCTCTCCTCCTCCCACTGCAATGGTCCCCAGGGCTGGAGGGGTCCTGCGGTGCCTGGCTTTCATCAGCAGGGCTGGGTTGTTGTCACCCTGAGGGTGACAGGAGGCTGTGGTGGGGGAGGGGCTTTGCGGGGGCATCCCTGGCACCGCCTCCAACTTTACCAGCAGACAAGATGAGGCGATCTGGGTCAGTGGATCCATGGGAGCCCCTGGGAACAGACGGGGAGATAGAGACACTCACAGAGACAGAGAGACCCAGAGACTCAGACATGCAGAGAGACAGAGATATGAACACAGATGGAGACAGAGAGAGGTACTTACCGAGATGGGAAGAGACAGAGAGAGACAGACAGAGATGTGGAGAGAAATACAGAGAGATGTGCAGAGACACAGAGACATGGAGAGACGCATCACTCACTGTCAGAGAGTTGGTCTGACTTATGAGTCACGACTCTGGGCAGGATAGAATTGCCCCTGTGGGTTTCCAGGACAGTGGCTATTTACAGGGGCAGAAAGCCCCTTCCCCGTTGCTTTCCTCTTGAGAGACACAGAGAGACCAAGACAAGGAGAGAGATAGAGGGAAAGAGACAGAGATGCAGAGACTGAGAGACCCAGAGGCTCAGAGACTTGGAGTTGCACAGTCTCCGGCAGATGCCTCCCCCAGCCCCCACGTAGCCCCCACCCCAGGGCTGCCGCCTCAAAACTGTCCCCGACCAGTCAGGTCTGTCTGACGGGGCCAGGTCAGGAGACAGGTGCAGCCCACTCCTGGTCCCTGGTGGCCTGGCCTGGACCTCACACATCCCCCGGCCAGGCCTGGTTCCCCCCATGCCCAAGCCATCTCTCTCAGGGCCATCAGGATGACTGGGAGCCTCCCATCCTCAGGTTTATTCTGGGGGGGCAGGGTGGACCGGCCTACAAAGGTCCCCTCAGAGCAAAGGGCGTCTCTGGGGGGCAGCGTTGGACCACCCCAGGTACCGCTGAGGCCACAGGGCACAATTCCAGTGGCTGGGCACCGTACAGCTATGGGGACAGCTGGGGGCCGATGTTGGGGGTGACATGAGCTGCACTTGGGGGAGTCCCCGGGTACAAGAGGTCGGGGGAGCAGGTGCCAGAGAGAGACAGGGGCATGGAGACAGATAGGCAGATTGCTCAATCAGTTAAATGAGGCACTGCTGGCTGTTGCCACGGTAACAGGGAGACAGCGTAGGGCAAAGTGGGTGGGGCGAGGGGGGCGGGAGGGTCCCTCCAGGAGATAAACTATATGGTAAGAATACAC